AAAAGGCTGGGGACACGCTGTCCCTCTGCCCAGGGTTTGGGGGTTTTTCCTTCACTGGCGGCACCTCCAGACCCACGGCTGGACTCAGCCCCGGAGAAATCCAGAGCCGAACTTCTGCTCTGGAGACAGCGGGATGGCCAGCTGGTGCTGGCTGAAAGTGGCCCCGTGTCTGTCCCACAGGGGGATGGCAGTGTCCTGGCGCTCCCACCACCCATCGCTCCCACAGCCCAGCCCCTTCCACGGCATGTGTCCGACCCCCTGCTCAGCCCCAGGCTCTCTGGGGGGGCCGAGGGGACCCTATTTCTTGCTTGACCCCCTGTCCCCCATCCTGAGCTGGGGAACGGGGGGGCAACATGGGGTACATCTGGATGGGCCCCCTCCCAAAGGGGACAGGCCAGGAGGGGGTCTGGCAGGGCTGGAGGGGAGACATCGCGTGCTTTGGGGGTGTGGGTGAAAGGGACCTTGGGAGCCCATCCAGACTTACCCCCCATGGGCAGGAACACCTCCCAGCAGACCAGGGGGCTCAGAGACCCCCATCCAGCCTGGCCTTGATGGTCCCATTCACACCCCAGCTGCTCCCCAGGCGTCACCAGCCTGTGCAAGGCTCTTGCTCAGTTCTTGGGGACAGCACGCAGCGCCCAACGACCTGGAGCTCAGCCTGGGGGCTGCCAGAGTCCCCGCTGCCCTGAGTCCACCCCAATTCCCAACAAACCCCTTTTACCACAGCCCCAGCCCTCTCCAGCGCTGGACCCTTCAGGAAACCCCTCTTCATCCCAACACGTCTGCCCAGCCCCTGCTCGCCGGGACATTCCTGAGTGTCGCAATTTTCTGCCGTGAGCCGGGGGCCGTCCCTGTGGACCCCTGGAAACCCTCCAGCCCCACGGCCGAGCGTCCCCTGGTCACAGCAGCGTGTGGGGCAGTGCTGGGAGCTGCAGCAGCATCCTGACAGTGGAAGCGATTTCCCAACAGTGGGGGAATTTGGGAGGGATGGATGGAGGGAGAAGGCTGCCCGGCTTCGGCAGTGCAGCAACACCCTGAAAGCAGAACCAGATTTCCCAGCAGGAGGGGGATTGATGGGATTAGTAAATAGAACAAACACAGAAAGTGGAAGCGAGTTTCCAGGCAGAAGAAGGATGGCGCAAGGTTTGTCCCGAGAGCAGGCGGTTACTGGGAGCAGCTGGGAATTTCCCAGCAGCAGCAGGATGGGGGAGTGGCGGGACTGGTGTCAGTGGGGACACAGGAGCTGCTGGGGAGGGGGGGTCAGGAGAAGGTTTGTCTGAGCTGCTGTGGGGCTGTGGAGGTTTATGGGGATGGGGAAGCTTTGCTCACCAAGAGGCCGTGCAGGATGAAGAACAAACTCCTCTGGGCTCTCTCCAAAGCTCTCTCCTTGCCCGGTCCCACCGGGAATACATTCTTTCCCCTGCCCATCCCAGCCAGAAGAACACTCTGGGACCAGGAGATGAGCTGGGTGAGATGGAGAGATCTGTGGTGACGAGAGAAAGGGAAAGGGGTGCACAACCCAGAAAGCTTCCAGGGGGCTGTGTCTCCCCGGGCTGCCATTGCCACCTGCCTGGGGTGCAGTGGGCACATGGCACAAGTGAAGGGGGCACTGAGGGGTACGGCTGATGCTCACATGGGTCACCAGGGGGGCAGCGGGAGCTCACGGGGGTGGAGGTCTCTCCGCAGGGTGGGGGTCTCCTCCTCCCTGTTAGACCAGCCCGTGGCTGCCCAGGAGCAGGGCAGAGACTTTTCCAACTGCTGTCTAGAAGCTCTCCTTTTTCCCGTGGTATTTTGTGCCTGTTCTCGCCCGTGTCTCTTGTCTGGACTCCCAGAGCCATCACCGTCTCCATCATTTCTTTTCTGCCCGTGTGCTTGTTGCTTTTCATCTCCCCTGGCTCTGGCTGGGTGCTTTTTCCCAGCCCAACAGTGACTTTCACTTCCCTCGCTGAGAGTGGCACGTGCATGCCTGGAGGAAGTCCCAGATGCTGAGGGTCAGTAACAGTGCCTGGGCTGCAGGAGAGGAGATTTGCTTCAAAAGAATTAGTGGGTTTGTTGGGGTTTTTTTGGTTTTTGGTTTGTTTTTTTTTTTTTTTTTAAATTTGTCTCTGCACCAGTTGCCACTCCTCTTGCACCCAGGCGGCCCCTGTGAGATATTCAGGACAAGGGACCAGCACTGGTAGGAGGATGCAGGTGGTCAGGGCTGTGGAGCAGGAGGAGGACAAAAGGCAGGAACAGGGAACGTGGGGAAGGGGCTGTGCCAGAACCACAGGTTTGCTGCAACCAGTGACTGTGACAGTAACGGTGCCATTGGTGTGCAGCAGCACATCCCCCTGCCAGTGTCCCATGCTCCAGGGCGCACACAGGAGGACGGTGAGATCCCTTGGTCCTTGCAGAACTGCCCCGGGTACACGCAGGGTCCGTACCTGCCGCATGTCTGGGCACTTGGAGCTGCTCGCTTGCTGCCCTGGCTCTAACCATTAATCCGTAACCTGTTTTCCTCAGGTCCCCTGCGTGTTCTTTGGAACAGAATGCATCGGGGGATTGCGCGACCTGATATCCCTGCGCAGGAACCTCCCCAGAATACTGCAGCACATCGGAGCCATCCGCAGCTGACAGGTACGTCCTGGGGAGCACTCTCTGGCCAGCAGCGATGCTTTGTCAGGTGTGCAGACAAATTCGAGCACTTTTAATAGAGAACCATGTTTTGGCGGAGCGGTACTGTGTGCCGTGACACAAGCGCAAACCTT